TAAGACTAAATCAAAGCCTGGTATACAGTGTTAAAGGTTCCCCCCCTTACCCTCAGGTAGCACGTTCCTGTGAACCCTTTCATTAGCCAAAATGGCATAAAGTGAAGAAGCAGTTTCCACTAGTTTACATGGAAAATTTGTGGAGTGTTTCTCAGACCCAAAATATAACCTACCAAATCATACCAAATATGCTTAATTATGCCCAGTGTTTCTGATACCTTAGGAAGCATCTTATTAATGGATGCACAAAACAGTTCGAGAATAATCACAGGTGCTCAAAGCTATGGCAGCTTGATGCCGAGATGCTCAGTGTAGTTCCTGGGAAGGAGCCCGGGTCACGCTGGCTGCTCGGTACCTCACTGCGCAGGGAATAGGCTGCCTCTTGTTGGCTCACTGCAAAACAGACGCTGAACGCTATTTTGTTTGCTTTTCGCTTTTTTTCACAAAAGCAAAAATCTTCTTTAGATTTCTTTCAGTTAGCCAAAACAGGTACTCTTTACAAAGTCCTGTAAGGCAGACTTTCAAAAAGGAGGGGTTACCTGTAATTGGAACTGAGCCAATTAAAAAGAAAAGCATCCTTCAATGCCAGTTAATTACCTCATCAGCAAAGAAAGATATCAGAGCACTGATTACTCTTTATCCATCCTGTGGGAATGGGACAGGCCACATGGTCTGGCTGAGGGAGGCTCGCCGATCTTTATTCTTAAATTTATAGAGCAGACAAGACCACATTGAGGAAGAACATCCTTTGTGCCTTCTTGGGCAGGGGCCAAGGCATCCTTGGAATGGGTATGGCTGTCCTAGAGAGACCTGAGGCTTTCACAGAGAACTGGAAGGCACCGTGATTGGTGACCCCAGAGAAACCAAAACTGGACCCAGGGCTCCTCTTTCCCTTCATCTCCCCGCGCACCCCCCCCCCCCCCCACGCCGTGTTGTCTGCCCCCTGCTTATTGGTAAGAAAAAAATCTCTATTGCTCAGTTCCTTTTCTTTCAGGAAACAGGAGGCATGTCTACACATGTTCAAAATAAAAGTCCAGCTTGCATTGTAATTGGTATATGAATTAAAAGTAATGAAAAAGTTCTCCCAGCTACATAAACTGAGAAGTGGCCAGGTCTCTACTGCATTTGAGTGTATTGGGGTTAGAGGGTGTTGGAGAAGCAGATGGAAGGTGCATTATTAGGACAAAGGGGTAAAGGCAAGACATTTAATGGGTGGAAGGGACTGGTTTGGGGCAGTATCTACCCATCTGCACAGGGCTTTTCTGTTTGCCTTCTTAAAGCATGTACATTCACGACAATCTGTTTTGGGGCACTGGGGCATGCAAGCTGCAGAATTCTTGTAAACAGGGCAGGTCTGATGATCCTTCCTCACCTCCACCATTTCCAGTTTGAACTTGGCCGTCCATCTGTTACACATACTTTTCTGTGTATGGGAGGGCTCGCCAGAGGAAATGGCAGCACCCAGCAGGATGGTTCCCCTCCAGAAGCGAAGCTTCCCTCCAGCGGTTCTCAGGTCATTCCAGAGGCACGGCAAAGAATGGCCCTGGCCCAGGGGCCCACTCTCCCTGTCCCCTTGTTCCAGCAGAGCTTGGCCTCACACCTGCGTTTAATGGGTGTTCTTTGACAAACATGAGGCCTTGCTGGTTGAGATGCAGGAGTTGTGCACACACAAACACGCAAGAAACAGCAGTCCTGTGTATATTTAACAATATATATTTATATATATTTTCTAGATCAGTACATTCAGTTTTAACTTGTTTTTTCTTCACAAACAGAAGAACTCTTACAATAGTAGACTTTCTAAAATAAATACTATTAAAATAGAGCTTCAAAATAAATATTCTATACAAAGGGAACCTTCCATGGTAACTTCTGTTGTGGGGTGAGAAGGGACTGCAGTGAAGAGGGAAAACGAAGGGAAAAGTGCGGTGGGATGGGAACCTTGGGCAGCTTTCCTGTTGCGACAGGAAACCTAACTGGGGTAGTGAGAAGAGAAAGCCAGGTAAGACACCACACGGAGTTACCCACAGCGAAACAAAACAAAAAAAAACGGCAGCGCAAGAATCGTCACCAACTGTCACAGTAAGCGGAGGGCATGAAAATGCTTACCGAAGGCATGAACCAGAAGGCCAGTGAAGCTTGCGGATGCCCTAGTGAACTGAATTCTACAGTGCAAAGTTGTGCTGCCCATACCCATTGGACCTCTCCTGGGGCAGCATGGGAGAACACAAAGCTTCGAGGTGACAAGATTCTGGGTGCTGGTCCCCACCAACACTTTCCATGTTGTGCAACCTTGGACAAGTTATCTAACTGGGTCTCACTTGATGTACAATGAATACCCATGCAGACTTCAAAACACTGGACAAACCAGACACATCACATGAATGTGTTTCGTCTTTGTCAGCAGGGACTTGTCTCCACCTCCTTCCAGCCAGGGACTGTCAGAAGCTTTGGTTGTGCCCCATCTTCTACTGGGGAGAGCTTTGCTATCCTAGACCATCCCCAGGGTACTTGCTGGAATGTTGGACTTTGTGGGTCTGTGAGCATGGGGGGAGCAGCAGCCAAGGCCCCCTAGAACAAGTGTCCTGGACCAAGGCCTGGGAGCCCCACCCCCCATTCCAGGCAGAACCACCACCTACTTCAGGCTGAAGAGAAGTGGGGACCAGCTGGCAATTAAAAAAAAAAACCTCAAGGCCCAGCCCAGCAAGCCACTGGTGACAGTAAACACAATCAGCCAAAGCAGCCACAGAAATGTGTCATATACTGAGAGCTTGGTCCCTCAGGGGCTCTTGACTGGTCCATGGGCAAGCCAGTTTTCTTGTTTTCCAAGAAGCCGAGAAAACACACTGCTGAGTGACTGCTATGTAGCAGAGCTGGGCAGAGGACCCAAGTTGCGCCATTCCTTCCTTTTCACCACTGAGCACACAGGACACCTGGGAGTTCTGCAGACATCCGTCTAGCAGGTTAAATGCAAACTAAAGGCAAGAAGCCAAAACAGGGGAGGGAAAAAAGAAAAAAAAACTGAGAAAAATCCGTGTTTACAACTATGTACACAAAAAGTCAGGGTTCAGGAGGCTGTTTGCCAGAAACAGGGTCTGTATAGATAGAGGGTGGGTGGGGTAGGTGCGTGTGTATACACAGCTTATGTAAATCAATTCTCCACAGAATGGGTGTGTAGAACACCATCACCAAAGTGCACCTTGCCACTGGGTCAAGTTTCCCATGGAGACATCTGAGGGAGGGGCTCTGGGAAAGTTTGGAGGCCCCCCAAGAGGGGACTTGTGCCCTCCCTCTTGTTTTGGGGGTAGCCTCTGCACACCTATTCTGAGGAAAACATCTCCAGTCCCTTCAGTACACATCTGATACATTCAATTAGTATAAGTGGTTGGCTGAATGTGTTTTTTCCTACCATCCCCTCCATTTGTGCAAGAATATCCATACATCCATCACGACTGTGGCAAGGGTAGCTACATGAATCAGCCATAGACAACGCAGATGCAATATTTCATATTTGCCTTTTACAAGCTAGCAAATGTTATAAATAAAGCCTAAAATAATAAGACCCTCCCCTCCATTCTTCCAATCAATAAATACCTATGGTTATAATTAACTTATTCTGAATCATAAGATGTTACTAGTCTTCAAGGGGGAAAAGAAAGTTCTTGAGAAGCACTGGGTCTATGCCAATCAGAGCTCCCTGCCTCTTTCCTGGAGGCAGTTCTGTTCCTACAGAACAAATTGGAAATGCTACAAATGCTTTACACCTAATGCACTTCCAATTTTCCCTGGGCGGGGGCCGGGAGGCTTTTCTGACCCAGGCTACTTACTCTCATTGAGGGGAGGGAGGGAGAGGGGACACAAAATACCACATGAAGCAATATCCCCGCACAACAGCTAGGGAGAAGGACCAGACACACTACAGCGTTTGCATGCAACAAGTACCTACCCACTGGACGTGCTGCACTTTCTGAGTTCTTTAGCACCTTGAGAGAAAGAGTTGCTACGTCTCTGGGGGCTGTCGGGAGGGGGGTGGTGTGGCCTTGCACAGAAGCAGGGCTCAACCCCAAGAAAGCCCCCGGAGAATCTTCCCCCACCCGCATTCTTCTGACTTCCCCCACCAGGGCTTCCTAACACTAAAATAGACTCTTTTCCCCATCATCTGTCTATTTACATTGAAGATACAGACACATCACTGTACATAAAAGGCTGTGACAGCAAGCAGCAGTATCAGAAGAGAAGAAACCGGCACCCATCTCGGCTCCACTGTCACTCTGCCAACGGGAGGTGCTGCCTCTCTTCTTTGCTGTTAAAATCCTCTTCTTGGTGGGGAGGGGGATTGTGTTCCTTGAGGTTGCTCGCCCCCCAGATTTTGAAATCAGCCCTTCCTGGGGGTGGCCCAAAAGGAAGCAAGTGTTTTATTATTATTTTCTAAAACACCGTTAGCATCTGGTTTAATTATTCTATAAAAACATAATGACTGGGTCCAGAGACCACAGCCTCAGACTCATTGGCAAAATGGTATTTGGTCTCGCATTTGCCGCCCTGGGCTTCTCCACCCATAAAGTTTCTGGAAAGGATCTGGGTAGAGAGAACTCGGGACAAGTTAGCAGGCAGGTGAGTCTGTGACTCAGTAAGAACTGGAGGACGGTGTTATGAGTGTAACACCCCCAAAAGTGATGGAGCTGGAAGGGAGAGGTGCTCTGTGTAGTGGCTCCTAAATCCATCCGTGGCTCCAGGGAGACAGCAAGGGACAAGGCCTGGACTCACTGGCCGTCCGCTGTTCTCAGGGGCTCCCAAGTATATACACAGGGACTGTCAGGGTCTACACCTTCCCCAAGGTGTCAGGCAAATTGTGGGGGGGAGGGGGGGAAGAGGAGAAAAGATATAGCCGTCAAGACTCCAAGGATCTTCTTCAAAGGTCCCCTGGCCACTCAGTTAGTGGTTCCTCCCAGGCAGTCAAAGAGAATGGAAGAGGGCGGGGGAGGCGGGGATGGGGGGTGCGGGGAGGGAGAACTGGGAAGGCATTCAAGCAGCTGCAACTTCCGGATATGTGGCCACATCTGTGTTCTGTCTTCTGAAAAAGAAAAATCCCCCCAAAACCACACCACACCCTTGCCACTCTCTGTTTCACACGAAGTTCCAGGACCTTGAAAAAACCCAAAGTGCTTCTTCATCCTTTTGAGAAAGAGAGTAGGCGTGGCGGGGCGGGAGTGTCTGTTTCTTCAGAAGCTGAGGTGGGCAGACTGGCAAGGTCAGTCTCAGGACGCTAGAACCTCTGGCCTTGCTGCAGTCTTCTCAGGTGGCAGAAGGGAACAAAGATGCCAAGAGGAGAGCAGGGGGCTTCGACCCAAAGTGTCAGAAAGGCTTGTCGGGTCTGCTGGCCTTGGCGTCACCAGTGGCTGCCTTGCAGATGACGCTGTTCGTGTGCTTGCAGCGGCAACCAGGGCGACGCAGGTGGTCGTAGCCACGCTGGGCCAGCTTCACACAGCCGGTGGCGGGCAGGTAGCAGAGCAGGCAGGGCAGCACCAGGGAGAGGGCTCCCATGAAGGACCAGCGGGCGCAGCAGTTTGAACGGGAGCAGGAGCAGGGGTGGTCAGCGCAGGAGCCCTCATCGTCCTCATTGGTGCAGTGGTAGAAGACACCTTGCACCAGGCACATGCAGGTGCCGTAGTTGACCAGGGTCTGGGCCGAGCACAGGCACTCCTGGTTGCAGACCCAGCAGGAGGGCAACGTCCGGGGCGACGCGCACTCCTTGCACTTACACTTCCCACAGGCCTCACACAGCAAGAAGTGCTTGTCCAGCTCTGGTGGGACTGCTGGGCCCTTCAGGTCCAGTGGCTTGCAGTGGACTGCTTTGGGCTGGATGCGCACGGCCCTGGGGGAGGCCTGGTCTGCCACGGGTGGTGGTGCCATGTGGTCTAGGAGCCGCTGGTCAGAGGATGTGCTGCTGCTGCTGCTCACAGAGCTGGGTCGCCCACTGAAGGAGATCCAGTGGTGGGTGACGTCCTGGTCACAGCGGACAGGCGTAGGGGCCAGCTCTGGGGCCCCACCCCGGGTCCGCTTAGGGCCAGCTGGGGGTGCCAGGCCAGGGTTGTCTATGTAGTCGTTCTCCACGTGGCTGATCTTCATCTGGTCGATGGGGAGGATGGTGAGTGGGTGCTGGAGCCGGCTTGGAGGCATGCGGCTGTCAAGAAGGGGCTGGGCCATGACTGAGCTGGGAGTCAAGGGGACGCTCTGTGGAATCGGGGGCTCCATGGGGCTGGCGGTCCTGGACTGCGCTGAGAATGGCTTCTAGGGACCCTAGGGGTGGGGGAGAGGGAGAGAGAATGGATTCCAGGCATCAGTAAAATCTGGCCTGTTGATTCCCCTACCCTCATCGGGTCCTTGGGAGCACAAATGAAATGGGAACTTGTTTCCCCTGGTGGCCTCCGGCATTAAGGCTTAGATGGTTAATAATGACAAGATCAGTAATAGTGGTAGGAATCACACTTATTTAGCACTTGATAAGTATCATATATATCTCTGACTTCACAATAACTGAAACTTAACTATTAAGACTATTGTTTACCCCTTTTCTAGTTATATAACACTAATGTTCAAAGTAACTTACCTAAAGTCACATGAAACTATCAGTAGCAGAACCAAAACTCAAACCTGGACAGCCTGTGTCCATTCTTGTATTCTGTGAAACAGGATCCATATTTTAGATAGCTCAGTGGTGATAAACACAGGCTCCGGAATCAGATCTAAATTCGAATCCTCCCTTCTACCCAGCAGTGTTGCTGTGAATAAGGTTCTTTAACCTCTATACCTTAATGCTGTCAACTGTAAAATGTGTTCTTGTGAGGATTAAGTGAGAAAATATATACCCAGTACCTAACATCTTGCTTGGCATACAGCAAGTACTCAGTAATTTATCACCATCCCAGAGAGAAACAGTTTGGATTTCCTGAGCACTAATGAGCACTACATGCCAAGCATTGTGCTGAGGATGTGGTGACCACAAGAGACAGCCCCTGTATGCTCCCATAGAGTTTATCAGCTGGATAAACAAAAGCCTTTATTTCAGTCACAGGAGAAGGAAGGGCTGTAGCTGATGCCAGCACGTCCAGGATATTAACTTATTACCAGCACTTCTAAGAGCAGCAACCTCCAGTGGCTTATAACCCATGGGTAGGTGCGCTTCTGACAAGTTGGATGGGAAATCCTCTCGAGGGGCACTCACATCGCCCATTTCCAAGTGCTGAGCTGAACATTCAGCCTAAATGCTATTTACTAGAATAGCTAAGCCAATCCTGGATCAGTTTCTAATTTCACCGAGAGAGTGCAATTTTAAGTTGGAATCCCGCCAGAGATTCAACTGCAGTGCCTGACACGGAACCCCAGGAAGTCACTTAAATCAAAGAGCGGAAACGGCTTGGTTCAAATTTAGAAAGTGCACATTGTTTTCTATTAGAAGTGCCATTTCCTCGCCTGCTGACCTTTACATTCGGAATTCGGCTGGAGATCAATTTAAAGAAATAGCAGCAGAAGGCCAAGACCTCTGCCCAAGAGGACATGATTTGGAATCCAAGAGAAAGATTAGACTCTGGGAAGATTCTACCGGGGGGTAGGGGACAAAACAGGCTGTGTGGATAGAAGGGAAGATAGCTATATTTAAAGGGGGGAGGGGAAGGCCACTGGAATAATGTATTCTGGGGTAGGTTTCAGTTAATGCTTTTTCAAGATGCTAATGAGGTTCTAATTAGGAGAGCAGACCCTGCGCCTCAGGTCTTAGTTTCATCTTCTCACAAGGTAATGTCTAAGAAGGGGATGTGGATAGGTTTCCACTTCCACACACCATTGCTCCAGACTTCGGACACTGTTGGTCCATTGCAGTACTCCCCTCACAAGAGAATGACACCTGGCCTGGGTGACTAGTCCATACTTCTCACTGTCTATAGTAAGGAGTGAAGAGGAGCTTAAAAAGGCGTTCAAGGGAACTCAGCATTACAGTTCTTCTACTTGGAAACAACGGTTTGATCAGCAATGGTTAAATTGTTGGGGAAGGGCTTCCTTAGATGCTTTCCAGCCCATCTGAAATAAAGAGCTAGCTCTAGATGCAAAGTTCATGAAGGGGATAAAAGGGAGCTTATCCACAGGATTCTCATCTGTATATCATCTATACTGCCAAATGCAAAAAAAAGCCTTTTCTTCAGGGTTCAGTGCTCAGTCAACTGATCTTTCCCATTTGCACAGGGCACAAACTATTGGCTTTGCTCCCATGGCCCTACCCACCCAAAAGATGCTGGTTTTTCTGTTCGAGGTTTTCCCATCTTGGAGAAGGTCTGCCTAGTGGCAGCGCCTGCCTCCTGCCTCCATGTTCCCTCCAGATGAAAAGAGAGCATTATCTTCAAAAGGGAGACTTCCCCATGGCAGAGTTAGCCGTAAGTGTCTGGCAGGTCCGCCACCACGTAGTCATTTGCCAAGGCAGCCTCCTACGGTCAGGGCTGGGTGGGGGAATGGCAACATCCACAGAGAGGAGTTTCCCCAAGGATCAGGTTGGCCACAGGGAGGAATGTCAGGGAATGCTACCTCAGCCCGTTTGGCCTTCGCAGGGCTTCGAAAGCCCTGCTTCTAGAATAAATGTGTTTGGGGTCAACAGAAGAGAATTAGGAGTCCCATGTCCTTTGCCTGGAGGAAAAGGTGTGACTAGGCAGAAGAATGGAAAATGCTGACAAAGGCACAGGGTAAGACTCTCTGGCACCAGCCAAGAGGTGCCTCAGCCAGAACCCCCACCCCAGGCAGACAACACGATTCCCTTATTTCAGAAGCTCAGGTCACAAATACTCACTGTCCTGCCAACTAAATGTCTGTGGTGGTTTGAAGGGTGTACTGCCCATGTTGTTAGGCTTTTTGTCTCTTACAATCAGCATTGGGACTTGCCATACTGTGGGAAAAGGCGGGGTGGGGAAGGGTGCTCCCTTCCCCCAAGCAGAGGATCCACTCTTTTTTCAGTTCTGTTCCTGGGGTTCTTTAAAACCAACCACTTTCTGTGGATGAAGCAAAACGCATGAACCAAGCTCGGGGATTGTTATAGATTGGAATCAGAAGGCAGATTCACAGAAAAAGTCCCATGGAAAAGTCCCACGAGGAAGCCAGGGTGGGAGCAGGGCTTGCAGGGAATGGGGATATTGGTATTAGAAGACTCCCATCACTCTCCAGAAGCAGCTGTCAACATCTGGGCCTGCAGCTGGAAACAGACATGGGGGTAGGAGCTGGGACCACAATGACTCAGCTCTCTGGGGACAGGCTGCATCCAAGATGGCTCCAGCAGGCATTTTCCAAAATGCATCTTCCCTAAAATCCAAAACACTAATTCAAAACACATATGCTCCCTTATGTTAATTGCAGCATTATTTACAATAACCAAGATACGGAAGCAACCTCAGTGTCTGCTGATAGACGAATGGATAAAGCTGTGGTACGTATGTACAACGGAATATTGCTCGGTCATAAAAAAGAATGAAATCTTACCACTTGTGACAACATGACTAGACCTAGAAGGTATTCTAAGCAAAGTCAGGCAAAAAACAAATACCACATGATTTCACTTATATGTGGAATTTTAAAAAACAAATGAAACAAAAAAAAGCAAAAACAAACTCATGGATTCAGAGAACAAACTGATGGTTGCCAGAATGAAGGGAGGCTAGGCGAATGGGTGAAAAAGTTGAAAGGGATTTAAAAGCATAAAGTGTCAGTTATAAAAATAGTCATTGGGATGTATACAACATAGGGAGTGTAGCCAATAATAGTGTAATAACTATGTATGGTGTCAAATGGGTGACTAACCAGGGTGATCAATTTGTAAGGTATATAAATATCTAATTGCTATTATGCTGTACAGCTGAAACTAATATAATATTGTATGTCAACTATAATTAATAAATTTTAAAACAAAATTTTCCTTATTAAAAATATAAATGTGCCTTTCCCATCATAACCTGGATATAGGATTCCTTCTGGCCACCAGCTCTGCAAAAACTAGCTGCTGGTTCAAAGCTGAACTGCTTAAAACTTCTTAGGCCTCAAGCCCTCACCTCCCCATTAGTAGGGACCCTCCACAGGAGGGCTGAATTCATTTGGCTGACAAAGAAAAACAACTTCTGGAACAGCCTGTTTGATAACCCCTCAGCATAGCTAAAGGAAGTCTCAAAAAAAAAAACAACAAAAAACAAAAAAAAAACACACACACACACAAAAAACCCTCAATTGGTTTAGAAGATCAATCTCTACTCCCAGGGACACACCCACCCTCCTCCAGGGTCTAAGCAACTGATGAACTTAAGTGCAGTTTAATATGTACTCTGCTTCCCCTGCAAGGAAGGAAGATATTTATTATATAAATAGGAGAGAGGAGGCTTTGCCTCATTTAGGCTGTTTGGAAGACTGATGGCCAATTTGGAAGACTGTGGACAGAGAAACAACGCCAGCACTCCACTTAGCCACAGAAGCACCTCTATCGAGTTTTAGGTGGTGGTCTTATGGATTAGCTTAAGGAAAGAAAACTTTCACTCCACTCCAACCTTCTAATACTAATAAATACTAATTATGGAAGCAGCTAATATTTATGAAACATTGCTTGGTGTTAGGCTCTACGCTAAGCCCTCAGTGATTTTCTCATCTAATCCTCACCATCACCTTGGAGGATAACACCCATTCTGCAGAGGAAGAAATATTAGAACAAAGTGTCAGGGCTAGCAAGTCCTGGGGGAAGGGTTCAAGCCCGGATAAGCAGATGCTCCAGCAGTTGCCGAGTCAGCCCTAACTTCCAATAATTTCTGGTTATTCACAGAAAGGCATGAGAGGGTCAATCGTTTTCACAGCCGTGAACTCAACCAGCCTCCCCAGTCTGCCACCAGCCCTCGGGGAGCAACATCAGGCCTTCTTGTGCTTTTACCCAAACCAGCAGGGAAATGAAGCCATGCCAGGCTGACAGGAGACTGGCTTCCAGGTAGGGGAATTTTCAGCGTGGAAAGTGGAGGCTGGGGGTTTGAAATCTGCCATTAAAAGAAGGCTCAGAGATCAATTATCTTCACTTACAGTTGTTTTCTTTGCTATCTCTTCTGTCACCTTACCACCCCTCCCCCAGTTTACTGTGCTTTTTCATTTTTAGTTTTATTAAAGTTGAATGGGTCTCACTTGTAGGACCCTCACCATGAAAGAGTCCCTAACAGGAAACCCAGAAATGAGAGGGAATCCCCTCTCCTCCCACCTGTAAAGCTGAGCTTAAGGGTCGCAGGGCTGGCTTGTTCATGGAGGGGGGCATCCTGGCCCAGGGCCGTGGGGAAGGGAAGGAGGAGCCAGGATCGGAGGAAGCCAGAAAAAGAGAGTCCTAGAATACTGAATCAGCAGGAGGCTGGAAAGCCCAGAGCACACTGCCCTGTGCTTGCGGCTTGGCCGGCTGTGAGCCTGACGCTGCATTTGTACCTGAGGGGAGGAGCTGGGCCTCAGGCCCCTCAGTTCAGGCTGGCTGAAAAGAATCAAGGCTGGCTGAAAAGAATCAAGTGGCCTGTTAAATGTCGGCAACACCCACCCAACCCCTTCCCTTTCCCCTTGACTTATCCTGGGGAGAGGAGTTGGGAAATATTAGGAAAAAGTGACAGTTGTGCTTTGAAAACTATGGGTCAGTTAGAGACAAACTGGCAAGAGGCTCTGAATGAATGGGCAGTTTCTGCACTGCCCCATTCAGTCTCAGCAGGTTCTTTCAGTCTCAGCAGGTTCTTTCAGTCTCAGCAGGTTCTTTCAGTCTCAGCAGGTTCTTTCAGCGAAGGTTGTTTAACCCTTTCACAGCTCAGGAAAAAAGGTCTCTAGGCTGCCAGAGAGCCCGCCCACCACTATCCACCACTGTCCCTGGTTCTTTGTGACAACATCCCAGTTTAGTTAATTAAGTTCCAACCAAATAATGACTTATTGCTTCAGAAAGACTTTAAAGAGGAGGGAAAGGGAAGCCAGGGACTTGCCTGCCCCTACACCCCTACTGCGGAGGACAGTCTCTGCATCTTCGTTGAGAATGGCCTGGGTGGGAGAAAAAAGTGCATTTAGGCAGCTGGATTTGTCTCAGAATCCTTGCTCCCCGCCCTACCTCCCACTCCAGCGCCAGCAGTAGGGAGCTCACCTCTGGCCATAATCCGTTACACATCACAAAAGAAAACAGCTGCTTTTCATCACTTTGTCCCATCACCAGTTATCAGTTCCCAGCCCTCTTCTCTTCCTCTTCCACAACCAATCAGTTGAGCTCCAAAGCCCCAGAGCCAGGAGGAGTGGGAGGGGGGCTTTGGCTCTAGGCTATTCTAACTGGCTTCAGTGTAATACACCCATAGTTGTAGTCTGCTCAGATACCCTTCAAGGGGGACCAGAAGTCAAGGGTTAGAGAAGAATTGGGCTAGAAGCAGCCTGTTAACACTGGAACAATTGGCCCACAACAAAGTGGCGGGGGTTGGGGGGGCGCACGGAGAAACCTAGATGTCCCAGGGATGGGCCCCTTCTCTCACTGACACCAAGATCATCACATCTTACCACCTTCCAGGAACAAATGTACTTAGGATAGATTTCATCTTACTTCTGGGACGGGGCAGGAAATAACTCCCCTTTGCCCCAAGCAGAAAAAGAGATACCTGACAAGGGAAACCACTCTTCTGCAAATGACCACCTGCCCCAGAAGGGCCTCTTTCCTCCTACACTATATCCAGCACATCTGTGCTCCCTCCCTACTGCCCTTGCTTCCTCTACTGACTGTCCTTGGAAAGAACAATCGTGATCACAGCTGAACGGTGGAGCTTCTTAAGCCCAGCCACATGTCCCGGATACATCCCCAGCCTTGTCAGCTGTCCGGATCTGCAGGGTGGCCCCAGACCCCTGAGAGCCAAGAATATGTTTCTTACATCATGTAACACTCCATACCTCCTGTGTAGGAAGGGGCTCCCTTATAACCAGGCCCTGCGACTAGGCGCCCAGTAGTAGCAGCACAGTCCTAGCCCTGCACACTTGCTGCTCAGCTGATCCTGATCCCACGGGAGGACTGTGGATGGGGAGACTAAGGCCCAGAGAGCTTAGCAGGTTTCCTAGCCACCATCAGCTCTGACCCAGCTCCTACCTTGGTCTGGAAGGAGTGAAACAGTTTTCCTTAAGTTGCTCTTTATCACCTTCTTTCTCTGGCTCTTTGGAAAGGGCAAAAACCTATCCCAATGAGTCCCGTTTTCCCTTCTGTTAGGGAGATCCAGGATAGCCAAGAGAAGGAAACCTCCTCACTCTTGCCATTCTCCTTCCTTAACAACACGGTCTCATCTACTTCCCAAATGCAAATTTTCAACTAAACCCAGAGATTTGTGCAAGAATCCTTCCCCAAATTTTCCTTACAAGGGAACTTCCACTTTAATAGGGACTGGAGGGCAGGCATTGTGGATTCAGAACTAATTAAATGCTGTAACTCTCTAAGGACGTTCAACTTCTCTGAAAAAAGGGAGAGGGGCTCCTTTGTAAGCCTCCTTGGTACCAAGACCCAGATGGCTTGTGGGGGCCCCAAACTGGGGGGCTGGAAGATGTCACACCCAAAGGACTTTTAGCACCAGGAATTGGAAAAGAAGTCCCCATATGTGATCCAAAAGTATTAAGTCCCAAAGTAGGACCCCTCAAGGGCCACTTCTGGGGATGCTGATGGGTGTTTTCCGCCCTTAATTTTTAAATTATCAAATTTTGCGCTGAAGGGCTGCCTCGTTACTCAGATTAGTGAAACTCTGGGCCATGACACTGTCAGGTTTATGGGCAGGGGTGGGGGGAGTAAAAAGGTATGAAGTTGGTATGAACTGGACATAGGGTGCACTTCCAAAGAGTCTCATCTCTCCACCTGTTCTGTAAAGATGAAAACAAAAATGGTATTGGGGCGCGCCAAATGGTCATCAGCCCCTAGCCTCTGTCCTACTGTAACCAGGAATCATTCTACTCTGTGTGTCCTGTGTCACCAAGCCCAACCAAAGCTTTAAGGAGACCTTGCCATTTCAGAGGCTCATCTGGAAAAAGGTCGTGGGAATGAAAAGAGCGTTTTCGTGCCACAAAAAGGGGAATGACTCCTGAGTTCAGAATCCAAAAAGGAAGACAATCAAGAGATGTCTTTAAAGTGTTCCTCACCCAAGCTGACCAACATGTGTCCACCAAGATTTCAGAAATCCACCACCAAAACTCCCCCCTATTCAGTACTGACCACACAGCTCAGTTGGTCAGTGTATGCACTGCCCAGTTAGGATCTTCCAGGAGCCTGCTGGCAAGTGAAGACCCTCCCAAGGGCTGGGAAAAAGTAAATTCAATTTCACACAGGACGTGTCTACAACTTTCCCACCCTTCTGAGAGAGAGACCAAGTGCGGCCCTCCTTTTCCGAGTCTGCCCCACACCCATCCACAGAAGGGGTAAAAGGCTGAAAATTTCAGGTGTTTATGCTTCATTTGTGTGACGACCCAGAGAATTATACACATTGTGAAATCACCAATGCAATATTGGGTAGGGCTTCAGACCAGACAGAGTTTATTAAGAGATTGATAAACCTACATATCCTGAATACTCTGGGCCTTCAGCTTACAGCTTTATGGGCTCATCAGAGATTGGAGAACCTTGGTCAGCCTTGGTCGGCTAACCAGACAGGCACATGCACTTGCTCTCGCCCCTCCCCAAACTGGAGAGAATCACGCCACTGATTTGGAGGAAGGAAAAGGGGGGGTTTCTCCATTGGGTCTGGCCATTCCACTGAACCCACAGCTTTCTTTTCAGCACTAACCATGCTGGGGGGCTTCCAAAGCCTCCCTACGCCAGAAGTCAGCCTCCTGCCCTCACCCAGGCCTGGCAATATGGATGCCCATCCAGCAGCTGGTGAATGAGGCAGCTAGCAGCTCTCCCCTCTCCTCACCATCCAGCCCCGTACGATTCTCCCGTCCATTGCTTAGCCATGCAACCATTTTCCGCCTTTCTTGCCTCCTCTGCCCACAACCCCCAACCCCCCGTCAAAGAGAATTGAGAAACCATCTTCTTGCACAAGAGCAGCTACTGTCTAAATGCTTTTTGATCGTCTGCATAGAGGGGGAACTGGGCACAGCCCTGGCCCCAGTGATGGTGCCAAGCTCCAGCTCCAGCTGCCCTAGCTGGCCAAATCCGCCCTCGCCCCCCTTCACTGCCCCCGTGGCCTTGACGATTCAGATTTTTCAGAACGTACCGTCTCTATCCTCTCTTCTCGGTGATGTCAAGCCTGGTACCACCAAGAAAGAAAGAGGGAAAGCGGGAGCCTTATCTCTCCTACGCACGCAACCTCTTCCTCCAGCTCCCACACGCCCGGCGTTATGTAAACGCACCTTCAGCCCCCACCATAGCCCCAGAGCGCCCGGCGCCTGGCACAGCTCGGTGCCCGGGGATAGGGAGGTACAAGGAGGCCGAGGAGCCTCAGGCCCTGCGGAGGCCGGGAAAAGGAAAGGCAACTAACTGCAAGGCAGTTGCACAGCATAAAATGCGGTAGCAGAGCAAAGGTCAGACGGCGAGAAATCGCCTCGCCAAAAAGAGGGAGCAGAAATGCCCAGTCCCGCGCTGACCATCGAAGGGAGAGGCGGAGAAGGGAAGAAAAGCCAGTCCGTCACCACTGCGATGGGCAAAAAAACCCTACGTCGAGCATAGGCCGCTGCGGCGGGCTGAGGAGATCTACGGAAGAACTAGCACCGTGGGCACCGAGCCCGGGGTGGGCGAGCCGCCCGGAGCGAGGGCACCCGCCGGACTCAAAAGGTGGCTCCTTCAGGAGCCCAGAGCCTCCCGTTCCAGCGCCTGAGGCGGGTGGTGGCAGGAGGAAAGGGGCCAGGCCAGGGGCAAACTCACAGGGCACGCACGGGGCTTCCCGAGTCGCAGAGTGCGGGGAACCCGGTCTTGGCAATGCTCGGGGTTTAGAAACGCCAGTGCCAGGCTGTGAACACCCCCGGCGCCGTGCTGGCCCAGCCCAGGGCGTCCGGGAGCTGCGGCGCACCGCAGCGGCTCCAGGAGGCGCTGGGAGAGGGAAGGAACGTTGAGGCGCGCCTAGAAATAGCGCACCATTTGCCCCAGCCCGAGGGGCAGTCGCGTCGCGGCTCCTGGCGGGGCACTTTCGGATCCCGAAACCGGCCAGGGACTTACTTTGAGGAGCCACAGATTCATAAGCATTGCTCCACGTCTGTGCAAATCCCCTAACCCGAGCGGGTCAGACGGCGCTGTCCTCGCAGACGCCGGTCGAAGAAACCGGCACCGCTTCCTGCGCTCCGCACCGCCAGCTCCGCGCTGTCAGCTTCTCTAGCTGCCTCCGCGGCGGTGTTGCAACCACTGCCTGGGAAAATGGCTTTTTTATGAATGGGAGGGAAAGAAGCTCCAGTGCGCACGCGCGCCGTTCGCAATTCTATGAATGGGTGGGCACAAGAGACCCCCGCGCGCGCATGCGCCGCGCTTTTTTTTTTTTTATGAATGGGGGGCCGGAAAAGAACTTAACCCGTGATTGCTGGGGCCGGCTCTCGCTCCTCCAGGGGCCGTCGTTTTTTACAGAGAGGGGTGAAGGTTGTTGTTGCCTTTTTTTTTTTTTTAATTAAATGAATGGAGGGCGGCGGCGACTGCTGCAGCTGGCTCAGCTGCGCTGGCTGTGCCCCCTCCCAGCCTGCGAGAGGAGGTAAAGGCCACCTTCACGCCACTGCGGGCCAGGGCAGGAACCGTCAGTGTCCCTGGGGGGGCGGGGGCACTGCAGCCTCTGGGTCCTAGGCAGAGAGTTGGGAGGGGGAGGACACACCTAAATTTAGGGATCTCTACTCGCCGCAGGCAGTCGTGGGGGCGGGGAACGGGAAGACCCCTGCTGGAGGCCTTCTCTTTCTCTAGACTATCCGCGTCGGGGGAGGGGTCTTGAAGCGCGTTTACCCGTAATTAAGAAAACGTCAAACGCCCTTATCAAAGAGGGGCGGAGGGGGGTGGGGTTACCGAATGAATCTAGTTCCTTTCCGGAGGCTACGTCTCCCTTGAGGGCAGACCACCCCTCCCCCCATTTCTTGGGTGTGGACATTGACGAGGCCGAGTCCTCTTCCGGCCCCAGTAACCCCCAAGGGCGATGCTGGCTGCTCGGCGGAGGAGACCTGGCTCTCTTCTCGCAGCAACACTTTCCTTTCGCCCCAGTGTAGCGTCTGCAGTGACCCGGCGGCCGTCCGATCTCCCTTTGCTGTACTGACTAGCTGCTCCCCTGTGCATCCCCATACGTTTTCCCAGCCCTCGCGGGATGCGGGCCTGAGAGCCTCTGTCTACCGACGGCCACGACCCTTTGCTACTGTAGTCGCCTTTCCCCAACCACCCCCACCAACTCCCCTCTGTAGAAGCGGGAGCAGCGGAGAATTGGCCAGGTGGATGGGTGGAGCCGGCGCGCAGAGGATGCTGCCGGGGTGGCCGCGGGATTAAATAACAGGGCTCTACAGCCGCAGAGGAAATAGAAATGGCTGGGGATCTTTTCTTTGCAGTTAATGTAGGGGACCGGGAGGTGGGGGGGGGGGGGCGCGGAGAGCGTATCAGCTGAAGAGCGTATCAGTGAAAAGAAAAGGTCCCGCCATTAGGCCTAACCCAGCAAGGTGGGGAGCCCTCGCAGCAGGCCCAGCTCCGCCCAGGAACCAAGGAGGCTGTGTAGCCTCCGGGGAGTCAGGGGTAGGGGGTCGCTTTGATGCGGGGATAAGAGTTTGGCCGGGGCCTGAATCCCCTGTGAGAATTGTCTTGCTGGTGTTCTGGCTTCACCGAAAGGTTGTGAGGCTGTCTTTTTTCTAACTACGCCACCATAAGATTGTGCTTGGCTGTTGTCAGAGGAGCCGATGACAGGCCTTGGGCTGGGGAAGGGGCTGGGGCTGGGGATCTGGAGACAGGCAACGGAGAACATTTTGCAAACGCAGAACAGAACCCAAGGTCACCGAGCCCCAGTCTAAAATGCCTTCTCCCTACCCAGATGCGGCTTTTCAGTGTGACTGACTGACTCAGCTACTGGGAGAGCAGGCCCTCCCCAGGGGAACCTCAATCATCCTTTCAGGGCCAAGACCTGCCTTAAAGCTAGGAAAAAAACTTTATGGGGACAAGAGAGTATTTTACAGGTGTTCAGGACTTCCTTTAAAGGTATTAATTAAAGTTCAATGTCATTATTCCCATTTGTCAGATACAAAAATTGAGTCCAAGGGGCCTGCACCCGGTATATGGAAGATCCAGTAAAATCTAGTGCTGATTTTCCAGGTCTTTGCAATCTTGTTCTTTCTACTTTGCTACCACCCCTCTCAGTAAACCTAAAAACCTGTTTCTTGCAAGTCATTGAAGCATGTTAAGAAAGGAAGGTTGGAGCAGTAATTTTCCATCCAGTGCTCACTCATGGGCCTTGCTCAAACAATTAAAAAGGATGAGAATAAATAAATCCTTTCTAAACTGGAAGAAAGTCAGGATGTTGGGGGGCGGGGGGGGGGGGGGGGGAGGATTCACTGTTCTGTTTCCTTTATTAGAGGAATTAGCTAAGAGACAGTGTTCCTTCCATTTCTGGTCTTTCTCAGCTTTTCTGAAGGAGGAGGTAAGGAGACTAGGCCTGGTAGAATGGTGAGAATATGAACAAGCCCCCAGTTCTGAGCTGGGAGGAGCCTGTGATGCCTAAGCCCAGTGTCATTCAGTGGGAGGGTACTGGAACCATATTCCGCTCTTGCTTGGGACCTAAAGGAAGGAGAGATTTGGGGCAACTGTTATGAAAAATTCATTCATATATTCTGTGCTGGCACCTGCCCTGACTCTGGGGACTCAGTGGGGAGAGACAGGCAGTCTCCTTGCCCTTGAGGAGCTCACAATGTTTTGGAGAGACAGGCAGAGATTTGAGGCGGGGTAAGTGCTGGGAGGGAAAAGATCCTGGGATATGGGGAATAGGGAGAGGACCTGATTTTAATTTGGGAATCAAGGAGTATCTTTCTGAGGGAGAGCTTGTGTTTATGAGTTGAATCGAGAAGACAGAAGGAGCGAGCCTGAGCGGGATTGAGGAGACGTGTCAGGCAGAGGGAGCTTGGGTGGGTCCCCGGTGTGGGGACAAGCCTGACATGGAGGTGCTGACCAGAGGCCTCTGTGGCCATGCTTGATGAGCAGGATTGAAGTTGGCCCAGTGAGGAGTCCAGATACTATCATCTTAAAGGTTTTGAAAAGAGTTGTGACAAACTCTAATTTGTGTTTTAAGCCTCGCCAGCAGCCCAAAACCCAGTGGGTGAGGGGACAGAATGAAAGATGGCGGGGGAATGCAAAACAGTTTTTCCTTAACAGGTTTAAGACACCACATCCATTCTTGGGGATTGGGCAGCTAGTAGGCCTGTGCTGGATTTTTTTTTTTTTTTTTTTTGCTACTTCATCTGACTTTGTTCATTCCAAAGCTGCCCAGTCTCTTCCCCAGGTATAACTTTTCTGCTGGAGGCAAATCCTAACCACCTTGCGTTCCTGCCCATGCTAATTACAGTCTTTTCACCCAACTTCAGTGTAGACGGTCTTCACCCCCACCAGATTCAGGCCAGGGAAGTAGAGAGGGTTTAGTTCCAGGCTTTGCCCTCTTATTAAGCTCTTGGCCTGGTCAGGACCTGGGAGCTGAGTTAGTGGGAATGAGGAGAGACAGGAATTCCAATTCAATGACAGGCACTCAAGGAGTACTTACTGTGTGCCAGACCTGTGCTCTGCGTGTTTTCCTATGTAATGCTGCTTTAAAAAGCTGAGTTCTGGGTCTTATCATTGCTCTTTTTCAGATAAGAACTCAGAGGCTCTGTTTTAATATTTCTTAATTTCACAAAAAAATTATTACTCACTTTCTGCGTGTCAGACACAGTGCCAAGGTGCTAGGGTTACAGTGATAAAAGAGATAGAAACTATAGCTGCCCTGATCAAGCTCACAGTTAGTGGTGACACCATGGTTGCCGGGGCCGGGGGTTGGGGGGAGGAGGTGTAGCATCTTCATTCATTTCTACATTCAGTTGTCATTTCTCAGCCTCCTGTCATGTACAAAACACTGAAAGCCAAGTCCCCCAACCCAAACAGATTACTTACCCCCACCTACATAGAAATTCTGGAAGCACCTCTGTTTATTGTGAAGTAGAGGAGATAGACATTAAACAAAAATTGATCAAAAATGATTTAATTACAGTTAACGGCAGTGGTGCATTAGAGAGTATAGAGAAAAAAAGGAGAGGGGCACAGGCTGGGGGCCCTGGAGTTACTCTGCAGCTCAGGTCTGCCTAGTGCAGACTCCGCCAGGCCGGGCTCAGCAGTGGAAGGCCCAGAAGCAGGGAGGAGCTGTGGGGAGTGCAAGAGCAACTGCAGATAGCCAGGGGGACCCTGGTCCTTTGAGGAAGTGAGGGTGCATCAGACCCCAGTTTAGAACTCTCCTTCAGGCACTATCCCCTAGGCTTTCTGGATCAGAGTGTTCAGCTGTTTCAGTGTTGGAGGCTGGAGAGCTTGAAAGGCACATGTGCAGGCACTGACCACAGACTACCGGGCTTCAGCCCTACCCTTTCAAGCTCTGTAGCCTTGGACAAGTTACTCAAACTTTACATGCCTCAGTTTCCTCCTTTGTGATGTGATAACCAATAGTATACTTTCCACCATGAGTTGAGTATAACCTGAATGAAATAATGCACCCTTAGACCAGCTCCTGGCACACCGTAAGTGCTGAATACATATTTAGATGATTATTTGACAAACCCAGCCATTTTGATGTAAGGAATGAGTTAGAATTTTAAGAGAAACCCATCTATCTGGGTGCATCAAAACCCCAGAAAGAAAAAAACAATCTAAAGTGCAAAGTTTTCTTTATTAAGGAATAGGTAATACGATAGTAGTATGACCAGCATTGCTGCTTTAACTAGTACAATATTTGCAAGATAAAAGCTGTGGTATTTTCAGCTGTTTAGCTAGGTATATTTGGTTCACCAAAGAGTTGAGTTTAACCCTGGCCAATATAGGTACTTGAATATCAGTGGTAGCAGAAAGTATAATATAATGCTGATAATATGGGGAATGATGGTTCTTCAGTATCAGTCAGGGAAGGGGATGTTAAACACTTGGTGAGTTTGCGTAATTTTTAATCTCTTCAAGCTTCTATTGTAAAAGGGATAGTCATATAGTATCTGCTTCAAAAGGTTGTTATAAGCACTAAACACATGATGTTTTCCAAGTACCTTAGCTCAGGGTCAGGAGCACAGCTATTTTTGTGGTCCTCTCATTGTTCTTTGTAAGAGGGAGGTAGTAAAGACTTTAACTTGGTTATGATAGTGCAGATCACTAGCTTCCTCTTCTCCC